CTAGAGAATTTAATCTAAAAGGACACCTGTATCTGAATATCCCAAGAGCTCTTCTCACTTGGGGAAGATAAAGCAATTTAGGAGATGGTTTTATTTGGTGCAGCTATTTAACAAAAAGCTTGCAACCTGGTGTAGTAAGAAACTGGACCAGTTATCCAGCCAGACTTTTTTTTTTTTTAGAAGCTCAGCAGAAGCCAAATCCTTATTTTAAATTCTGTCTGTGGTTGTATTTTTCCTACCAGTTGCATATACAAAACAGCTGCTTTGCCGAGTGATTATGTGCCTCATTCCTCATGATAACCAGAGTGAGAAGAATATGTAAAATGTACTGCTAATGGTAATGCTGGTAAGAGGAAAAAGAAATATCAAAAATAAGTGTGATTATTAGATCTGCCTAGTAACGTTAAGGTTTCATGTTTATAACTATTAAATTTTTTTATTACTAAAACTATTCAGGGAAAGTAACTGCCATTGCAAACATGAAAGTTACAATTCCCTTTCACCCATCGATTTTATAGTATGCTTTTAAACAGTGGAGTGATTCCTTGGTAAGGCACCTACTGCTTTATAAAAGAGATACTCAGTGTTCATGTTAAACTTTTAAATTCCTCCTTTGAAATTGTTTTTAGTATTGACCAATAACTCACACACAAAATATTTTCCCTGTGTTAAGTAAGACTTTTTCTTTCTTTTTTGACACAGGGTCTCAATATATTTGGTCTTGGCTGGCCTAGAACTCACAGAGACCCACCTGCCTCTGTCTCCTGAGTGCTGGGATAAAGGCATGTGCCATCACGACCAGCTTTAAGTCAGTCTTTTCAATGCTGTAACAAAATATTTCACATAAACAACTTAGAGCAGTAGAATTTATTTTGCTCAACATTTTAGAGTTTCAATCCACTGTGACAGGGAAGGAGTTGTAGGGTAGCTCATATGATAGAAGCCAAGAAACAGAGAGAAAGTCTGTGCTTGTGGACTCCTTTTCACTCCCAGTCAATCCTCTATAAAAATAACTTCACAGACATACCTAGAAATGTATGTTACTAATCTCCTAGTTCCTTCTAACTTCTATGAAGCTGACAATCAAGATTAACTACAATTGCTTTATAATGAGTTACATTTAAAATTATTTATTTATTTTTTAAAATTTTATGTGTATGAGTGTTTTGCCTGCATCTGTATAAGTGCACCTGTGTCGTCAATGCTCACAGAGATCAGAAGAAGATGTCAGATCCCCTGGAACTGGAATTAGTATGATTGTCTGCTGACATGTGGGTGCTGAGAACTGAACCCAGGTCCTCTACAAGAGCAGCCAGTACTCTTAACCACTGAGTATCTCCAGCCCCATGAGTCACATTTTTTTTTTTTTTTTTTTTGGTTTTTGACACAGGGTCTGCCTGTAGCTCCAGCTGTCCTGGAATTCACTATGAAGACCAGGCCAGCCTTGAACTCACAGAGATCTGCTGCCTCTGCCTCCCAAGTGCTGGGATTAAAGGTGTGTGCCACCACGCCCGGCATGGGTCACAATTTTTAGAAGTAAAAAACTTTCAACTCTAGAGGGTCTAAATGTGATTAAGATGAGTTGTATGAAATGCACAAAAATTCAATTTAGAATATATTTTAAAAAAGATAACACAGGATGGAAATGGTGCTATACGCCTATAGTCCAGCACTTGGGAGGCAGAGGCAGATGCAGGCAAATCTCAGTGAGTTCAAGGCCAGCCTGGTCAACACAGTGAGTTCCAGGCCAGCTGGGGCTACAGGGAGACCCTCCTGTTTCAAAAAGAATCTCCCCAAAGATAAGACATACAATATACACAATATTAAATTTTCTAATCAAAGTTCAATCAATCCTCTACTTAAGTCAGTGGAATAATTGACTTAATCTTGCTAATTATTACAAGGATTGGCTTAAAAAATAAAATTATAGGGGTGGAGATGGAGAGATGGCTCAGTGATTAAGAGCACTGACTGCTCTTGCAGAGGACCCGGGTTCGATTCCCAGCACCCACATTGTGGACCATCTGTAACTCCAGTTCCAAGGGATCCGACGCCCTCTTGTCACCTCTGTGGGCACTGCATGAGATGGTGCACCTACCTACATGCAAGCAATACACCCATAACACATTAAAAAAATAAAAAATAAAAATAAATGTCTCATCAAGTTTTATTTTAGAGCATTTATGTTCTGTTAAATATTACACAAGGCTTAAATGTACCAGACATTTTATAAATCTTTGCCAAATAAATGAATAAAAGCTTTAAAAAAATTAAAAAACAGAAGTCCTCTGTCCTCTGTTGATTCTCAATATGGGGGCAGTGTCTAACAAGTAGACCTTGTTACTGTGGAAAGCTCTGAGCTAACATCATGAAAAGGCAAGATGAGAGAGGCTACAAGGTGAATCCTAGAGTAAGAACCTTAGTCAAAACACTTAATATTTCAAATTTAGATTTCTTTCATTTGTAAAAAAGAAACCCAAACTAGCTATGTGACAAACTAATCTGGAACATATAAAACATTCCTAAGAATATCCTCTTATCAAGCAACCCAAAGAACTACAAACTCATCAGTTATCACCAAGCATCTTGGTCACAAGAATTGTTTTTTACAAGGTAGCAAAAGCCATTAATATATATCTACTTTTAATTACTCTGGCTTGGTTCCTTAGCATATTAGTGCCCAAAGTTATATAATTATAATCTAAGTACCATGTGCTAATCCTATTGAGTAAAACTGGCTCCATCACTTGTATGTAGCCAGGCAAAGGTTTTATAATTTGCAATCGTTCACCTTTTCTCACACACTGCTAACTGTATAAAGTCTAATTTTTTTTTTTTTTTTTTTTGGTCTTTTTTGAGACAGGGTCTCCTGTAGCCCCAGCTGGCCTGGAATTCACTATGTAGACCAGGCTGGCCTTGAACTCACAGAGATCCACCTGCCTCTGCCTCCCGAGTGTTGGGATTAAAGGCGTGCGCCACCATGCCTGGCTATAAAGTCTAAATTTTAAGACACCAAGGAATAGCTATATACTTTTGTTTAAAAAAATTCAACTTTGAGACTGCCAGAGAGTGCTTGTTCTGGCCTCTCTCTGGCATAGGGGCTGAGAACTCAGGACTGCCTGAGAGTGCCCGGATCCTGCCTCTGTGTGGCGGTAAAAGTTACACAATTTGAGTCTTTTAGATAGAACCACTGAAGGGGTACCCCAATTGCCTCACCCTGCATCCCTGTTCAGCATGGAAGAAGCCAGAGAGGTCTGTGTCCTGATTCCCTATCTGAGAGTTGGGTAACCTCTTCAGGGGATGGTGTGATAAGAATAGGAGGTAGAATTGGCTACGCAGTTAGGATCAAAAGACCCCAAAGAAAAGTAGCCAGTTTCTTGGCTAAAAGTCAAAATGTCCTTGGGTCTCTTGGCAACATACTCTGTTCCAAAGGCCAAAAATGTCCAAAGTATTTGGGAGCTCTCATCTAATCCTTAAACGACTTTAGGGTTACCTCTTCAGAAGGGGGAATGTTAGAGTAACAAAAAGCCACATTAAGAAAAAGAGAAAAAAGAAGAAGAAAGAATACATGAAGTTGTCAGGAAAAAGTGACAGGGAGATATGGGAGGAGTTGGAGAGGAGGGAGTGGGCATGGATTTGATCAAAACACTGTATATGCCTGTATGACATTCTCAATAAATTATTTAAAAAAAAATTCAACTTATAGCTTAACTGTTTAGTCTAAATAGCTTCTAGACCTTGACTGAGTTCCACTTCAGAAACTATGAATATAGAGCTATTTATCACTCTTTTTGTGAGTGTGTGTGTATGTGTGCATGCATGTTGGGGTCAGAGGACAACTTTGAGTCCACTCCTCAGATGTCATTTTTTTTGAGATAGGTCTCTTATTGGCCTGGAATTCACCAAGTATAATAGGCTGGATGACTAGTAAGCCTCAGGGATCCTCTCCAATGCTGGTATTACAAGTGTGCAGCACCATGGCTGGATTTTTCTGTGAGTTCTAGGGATTGAACGGGGGCCCTCTGTAAGCACTTTATCAACTGAGCCATCTCCCTATCCCAAGAAAAATCATTCTTAACCATACATTTGCACAAAAACCTGGCCTTTCTTTAATTTATAAATATGGGGACATTAGTGAACTAAATTCTTTCAGGGAGATTATTTGTAAGTACTTCTTCCAGCTATTAAGTTTCAGCTGATAGATCAACTGCTGTTTCTTATTTAATTCCCAGAAATTCCTAAGAGTCAAAATAATGTGACAACTGTTTTTGTGAACTAGTTTAGATATCACAGACACTGACTACCCACAGTCAGTAGGATGCCTCTCAGTGAATATTAAATTGTTAATGGGATTTTCAACATTTTTTCAACTAGAATGTTTTCTTTAGGAATGTTAACACTAAGGTTATAATGCAACTTAATGGAAAAAACAAAACAAAACATGTGCTATGTAAACCCATCAACTTCATATTAGTTTTCTAGAGTCAAATAATATATAAAAGACAGTTCTTTGGTAGCAGGTCTAAGACTGAGGAAGAGGTGGGGCTACCACACTAGTAGGACTAAAGCTACTCAATTTACCAGTACATTCTTTAATTTTATAAACTTCTATTATTCAGTAAAAGAAAACTTTTTGCCTAATACGCAAATCTCAAAGGGGGAGGGGAGCGCAGTGGCAGAAATGAAGTTCAACAAACACAACAAAACAGCGCTATTCTGTTGTGTTATGCTGCCAGGCTTTTTGTGCTCTACTTGAAAGTAATGTGACTTGTCTGTGAAGAGTGCAGCTTCAGCAGTTCCAAATGAATCTCAAGCCTGTGCTCCATATTTTCTCTTTTGTGACTTTAATGTATTCAAGCAACACTGAACTGACAATTTAAATAACTACACTTTTAAACAAACGAAGCATTGATGTTAATGTATGAAAATGGTCCAAACCCCTGGGAGTCTTGGTTCCCACCATTGTTTATTCTGACAACAGGATATAATTGCTTACTTACTTGGCAGCAAATTTAACCATCTGCTTGCTTGCGTGGTCTCCCACTGCCACAAGAGCCTGGACATTAAACTGCTGCTGTCGCAGGACTAGGAAGCACTGCTTCCCTGGAAAACGCAAAAAGAGAAAAGTGCATTAAGGACAGACTACTTAAGGTTTTATAAAGAAGGAAAATGCTTCTCTATTTTAGAATTAGGTCAAAATTTATATATTCATCTGATATGTACATATGCATGTATCTATCTGGTTTCCATAGCCAAAGTACCAAACACCTGTACTCAACTGACAAGCTTTAATCCAAGTTCCTATGCTGAGTAATCAAAAGTATGTATTTAACAGGTTTCTTTTGAAAACATAGATAAATCATTCATAACAAATAGAAATATATAAATCTCAAAAGATAATTTTGTAACACTGAACAAACTAAGTAACCTCAGATGACTTTCAACATTCAGTCAATAGCTATGATATTCCACCGACAAAGGCACTGAGCTAGTTCTACCATGGAAGCTTCAATCACAATCACAGAAGTGCTAATAAAGTACTTACTAGTAAGAACACAAGCACTCTTTGGGGGTGGTTCAACTACTGCGTTCTTCCCACCGAAGTGCATTCTAAAGACCACTTAGATTGATAGACTAGGTCCTTTCACATTCCCTTTTCCCAGTCCCTTGTCCTTTCCAACAGTCCCACATTTTAAAACTCTAAGTAATTTACTTTTCTCTATAAAATATCATTCTTTTAAAACCTTACAACCATTTTTATTTTACATGTTCTGGGCCTCTTGATTCCTCCTTTCATAAAGAGCTGTCATTATTTTTAACCTGAAAAATATTACTTACAATAGATTTCAGTCATTATGCATCATCCTTCTTGCTCCGGAGATCTTTTTAAGTCTCTGATTAAATTCTAGAAAACTCGGGCTGGAGGAATAGCGCAGCCGTTAAAGGCTAAGGCTAACAACCAAAACATTAAATTCTAGAAAACTATTTCCTTATAAAAACGAGTTAAATTTTTCTAAGACCACTTTATCAGACTGTCTTGAAAAACATCACAAAATTGACTTTTTAAAATGAGAATTCTTTTACATTAAGAGTTAGCCTAGCCTCCCCATGCCCCCCCCCAAAAAAGCAAAAATGGAAGACTTAGAGCTTTCACTTTCAGCACACAGTATTTTAAAATGCAAATCAAAAAGCAACAATAAATTTAAAAAAATAGGTTGCAAAACAAAGTGTCAACATATATATTTCATTGACTCTGCATGGTAACAGATTTTAATTACTAAAAAGACACTACTTTTCACCTTTGGTTCAGAGTAGGTTTCAAAATGAAGTTTAAAACTAAACAAATTCAAAGGGATTTGAAGACAATGGATAATAAAAATCATCACAGAAATTTACAGATGGATGAAAATGACATTATCCTAGGTACTACTACAGAAACCATGGCAGGATCCTCTCCTATTTAGAACACAATATAGTAAAAAATGGAAGGTGATGTGAGACCACAGTGCAAGATGGGCAATAAAGCATTTTGGCTGTTTTAACTCAGACAGAAGCAGTCCACACTTCCCTGCATTATATAAAGTCATCCAGTGATAAAGTAGAGAGAACTCTGAGGGAATTACAAAAGATCAGCACTAGGGGGTAACACTTAGCTTAATGATTTGGTAGAGAGTAAAGACTCTGGAATAGAAGACCTGGGATCATGTCCTATTACTTTCTACAAAGTGGTCCTATGGGAAAATTATTAAATCACTTTAGAACTCTGTTCTCATCTATAAAATGGAAATAACAGCATATTACTTACAGGCTTTGTTTGTACTTTAGTTCTCCATGTATGCAAGTGCCCCCATGCATACAATGCCCCCAGAGGCCAGAACAGGGCATTGTTGGATTCCCTGGAACTCGAGTTAAAGGTGGTTGTTAGCTGCAACGTTGGTGCCGAGAATTGAACCTGTGTTCTCTAGAAGAGCAGCCAGTGCTCTTAACTGCTGAGCCATCTCTCCAGCTACCAGAGGCAACCAATGTTTAAATATATATATTTTTAAATTATATATTTATTGTGTGTGTACATATATGTATGTATGAGTATGTGTGTGCCACAGCACATATGTGGAGTTCAGAAGACAACTTACAAGAGGTTGTTCTCTCCGTCTACCATGTGAGTTCCAGAAACTGAACTCTGACTTTGGGCTTGAAGGCAAGCATCGTTACCTGCAGAGCCATCTTCCTGGTCCTGCTAATTTAAGGACTGAATATCATTCATACTTTGTAGGTGGAAAACTATGTACAAAACTTATATTGCTTTCTGGACAGTGCCAGCATTTAGATTTTTAAAAAATAAATTTCTTATTGAAAGCCAAATGACACAAAACCCTTGTATTGGATGCTAAGAACATGAAGATAATTATTTAGTGGACAGTTACATGAAAAAGGTGATCAAGCTATATATATAATTCCAATGACTGCATAGGGGGCTGGAAAGATGGCTCAGCAGTTAAGAGTACTGGCTGTTCTTGCAGAGAAACAGTGTTTAATTCCCAGCCCCCACATGACAGCAAACACTCCAGTTCCAAGGGATCTGACATCCTCCTCTGGCCTCCATGGGCACTGCACTTACACACATGTAGGCAAACACTCATACACATTTAAAACAACAACAACAACAAAACACCAAAATGTGGCCAGTAATAGTTGATGAAATTATAAAAAAAATTCATATTTTTTGGCTCTTTCCTACTCGCAGGCCTCTCTGTAAAGATCCATCCTGTCCTCCGTGCCTTGATTCCCCCAGCCTCATTCACCCTCCCATCTCCAAGGACCGGCCTCTCCTCCAAGTTTGGGTCTTGCCCCATTCCTTGTCTTGGGGCCCCAGACACCTGGGGAACCAATACTGCTTCTTGATCCTTTTCATCCAGGCCATCAGAGTACCTTCTCTGGGCCCCAGGAGCACTGCTTCTGGGCCTGGTCGCACCCTCACCTCCCTCTGATTCCCTGGGCCTGAAAGACCTGCCACAAGCCTCTCTCCTACACGAAGGCCTCTCTCCGGGGTAAGTCCACTGAGCCTTCCGCGCTTTGACTACTCCAGCCTCATTCACCCTCCCATCTACCCCAAAAGAGTCTCTCCTAATTTGGGTCCTGTCCCATTCCTTGTCTTGGGGCCCCAAACACCTGGGGAACCATGACTGCTTCCTGATTCTTTTCATCCAGACCAATGTAGTGCCTTCTCTGGGCCCCAGGAGCGCTGCTTCTGGGCCGGGCCTGGCCCTGCCCTCACCTCCCTGTGCTTCTCTGGGCCTGCACCACCCACCAGCCTCTTTCTGGGACAAGGGGCTGACTTTTCCTCTTTCCTGATCCTTTGCATTCAGACCAACCCAGCTCCTCAGTGCAGTCCCCAGGAGTCCTTGGGGCCTCTTCCCACCCCATCTGCCTTTGCATCTCTGGGTGGCAAGGCCACCAGCTGCCCTAGACCAGCATCTTTCCTGGGCCAGGCTCCCAGGCCAGTTCAACCCCCAAATTCCTGAGGCCAAAACTGTTCCTGGAGGGATCCAGACCTTAGGAGAAAGCCTGAAAACATCTGACCCTCACCTGAATTGGGCCTCTGTAGGAACTCCTGAAGACAAAAGCAATCTGGCCACTCAGATATAAAATCAAAAGAAAGAACCAGAAGCTTAGATGACCCAGCTTTTCATACCC